CGCCCGTCCCGGCCAATCGGGCGAACGACCGCACATAACGCAGCGCAACGCAGGCAGGGCATGTAGTCTGGTATATATTGCAAGCAACAACAACCTCTTTCCCCCATTGCCGTGATATTTCCAGATCTCTTCCGTGCTCGGTCTCTCCTCCAATCCCGTCCTCCTTTTCTCTCGTCTCTGTCTCCGTCTCTCTTGAATCGAGGGAGTGCCAGTCAGGAAATGGCACTGAAACTGCCACTGCAGGGAGAGATCCGAGGAGTCTCGTTTCTGGAATCCAACAGAGGGACCTCTCCCCAACTCAAAGGTGCCATTTTAGCTGTTCCTTTTCTCCTCCGGGACAAATTTATTCCCCAATATAAACCTTGTCGTGATCGAATTTGATTTCGCGATTCTGTTCGCTCTTAAAAATCTTTTTTTTTTTTAATTTTTGTTATTAATTTGGATCAATTGCAAGTTAAAAGCGATCTTTTTTGGTTCTTGTTACTCCCAACAGCTACCTTCTTGTGAAATTCTTGTTTCTGAAACTTGCAAAAAGTTGATCTTTTGACCTTACTTTCTCTCGTGAAAAGCACTTTCTTTAACCTTTTTAACCTGAAAAGCATGCATCGATTCTCCGAATTACGTAAGAATTACGAATAAAGATTTTGTCTGTGTTCGGAATTTTCTGAATGATTCAAGCACAAAATCTTGTCATTTGCTGTGCTCAACCGAGTAGTTTCTGAAGCTTGTCAACGTTTCCTTCAGTGGGGCTTCACTTGAAAAGAAAGGAGAAAGGAAAAGTTTTATTGAGGAAGACGAGTTGCTCAGTGCAGCAGGCGCCTCAGCCAGCCTGGCCAGGCCGAGCTGTCGCAGAACCAGGGCACAAGTCTTGGGACGTTCCCAAGCCTATTTCAATCGTTGGATCCACTGGGTCAGTTGGAACTCAGGTATGCAGCTGAAAGCAAGAATAACACATATTCAATGTATGTACAATGTGGATCATGTCTCTTCTTACTGTGTGTATAGGCATTTGATAAAGGTCAGATAGTTTTCATGATACACTCTGAAATTTCTTTACATGAGTCCTTTCTGTCAATGTTTTCCTTTCACCCTTTAAATACATTAGAACTAGTAAATCCAATTGTAGAAGTTTTTATTCTTTGCTGAAAGCTGTTGTGGTTGATGGCCAATCAGCAGGAAAGTAGTCTGTAATTGAACATCATTGACTTTCCAATGCACCAAATTCAAGCCAGAGTGTGGTTATTGTTCAGTATGAAACCATGTTTCATTGACTTGTCATTTTACCAATGCATTTTGGTTATTACAGACACTGGATATAGTTGCTGAACACCCGGATAAGTTTAAGGTTGTCGCTCTTGCAGCTGGCTCTAATGTGACCCTTTTAGCTGATCAGGTAACAATTGTCGTCCCCTGTAGGTGCATGAGATGGTGGCTTAGATGGATAATTATTATTGGAATTGCTCTTTAAGTTTTCTGGAACAATTAAGAATCGAACTCCTTTTTTCCTCTGAGCAGGTGAAGAGATTCAAACCTCAACTGGTTTCTGTAAGGCACGAGTCACTAGTTGGTGAACTCAAAGAGGCCCTGGCTGATGCTGAACAGAAACCTGAAATTATTCCTGGGGAGGAAGGCATTGTAGAGGTCAGTTGTGTTCTGCATACTTCTCAATTGTTGGACCTGCTCTCAAGCTTGCATCATAATGTGTTTGGATATGAGTTACAGGTTGCTTGCCACCCAGATGCTGTCACTGTGGTTACTGGGATAGTAGGATGTGCTGGACTAAAGGTAAAAGCATATAGATTGTTCTTAACTCATTCCTTGTACTAATGTCACACTGCTATTTCCACAAAGTACCTTCCTTTAAGTTAGCTACTTTGTTTGGACATTCCTGGTGCTCATCTTAAACAACATAACTTGATATATCAAGAATAGATATATAAAGTGAACATCCTGGCATCAATGTAGCAGTACTAACCTGCTGTTTCTTTTACTATCTGGTTGATGTGTATTTATCGAAAATCATGTGAGTTTTATACTTGGTTGTAAATGATACACCTTTGATTTGACATAATGCTAACTGAAATGAATATGATTTGACATTTTATTGGTGAGGTGTTTCTATTGGCTCACATGTAAGAATGAGCTAGTAAAATATTGTCAATGTATTAAATATAATTATCATCAAATCCCTGAAATCGAAAACTATAGTTTTAAAGATGTCTTATTTTTACACCAAGAAGCACAGTTGTTGATACCTTCGAGGAATTTTAGTTCATCGTCAATGATGGTATCATATGTCTGCATCACAAAATGAGCTAGACCTTTGAAGGATGTTTGCTTGGCTCTGTCTCCTACAGTTGCCTACAAAGAGGCAACATATGCAAACACAAAGCTCATATGCACCTGCATATATCTATATACATTTGTGTCTGCGTGTGTGAATATCTTCGCCTTTTTCAGGCAAATTCACCTAATAGTCACTTTTTGTTCTACTTTCAGCTTATTTTTTCTACTGCACTATGTGCCAAAGTGAATATATGTGTTGTATATACATCCAGTAATCCATTCATTTTGTTCATATATTCAGCCTACTGTTGCTGCAATTGAGGCTGGAAAGGACATAGCTCTGGCAAATAAAGAAACTCTCATCGCTGGAGGTCCTTTTGTGCTACCTCTTGCTCACAAGCACAAAGTAAAAATTCTTCCTGCTGATTCAGAACATTCTGCAATTTTCCAGGTACTTATAGTAAATCACCAGTACCATCAGGTTACCCAGTTTAAAGCCAGTGATTGCATGCCTTTACTTGTTTTGAAAAGCTAATATTCTTTGTATCTAACCCCATTTGCCTGATTCAGTCTGTGTCTATTGTTGTTCAAATATGAAGTTGTTTCTTGAATGATGATGCTTATGGGGTATTGTATCTCCAGTGTATTCAAGGCTTACCAGATGGTGCACTTCGACGCTTAATTTTGACTGCATCTGGAGGGGCCTTCAGGTATAAGAACTATTTAATGCCTTTTGATGCTTCAATCTGACATCAAGAGCACTGAGCGCATATCTTATCCGTGTGGTCACTGTTCTAAAGATGTTTGAATCAAGGCTTATTGATCAAGTTGTGAGGATGTACTGCCAGTTTATGGTTTTCTTCATTTATGTCAATCATGCTGCTGTAGATCAGTACTTACCCCGTTTGCCAGTTTAACTTTCTTCTCTTCTTCTTCCTCTTCCCTTTTCTTGTGTGAGAGGTTGCTAAGATCGCATTTTGTTGTTGTCTCTTTTCATCTGTGTTTAACATCTGGAACTTTAAATAAACATCCATCTTTGTTAATCATTACAGGGATTGGCCAGTTGAAAAATTAAAAGAAGTGAAAGTTGCAGATGCTTTGAAACATCCAAACTGGAGCATGGGGAAAAAGATCACTGTGGATTCTGCTACCCTGTTCAACAAGGTATCGAAAGCATTCTCATTAAATTCCTTGAAACGGATGTGATTGTTGACATGTCTCTCTTCTAGTTTCCGAGAGCCTACAAACTATTCCTTTGTGGTACAGGGACTAGAAGTTATCGAAGCACATTATCTATTTGGGGCTGACTATGACAATATAGATATTGTGATTCATCCAGAGTCTATAATACACTCGATGGTTGAGACACAGGTAAATTTGTTATAATCTCATTCCATTATGTTAATGTTGGGTTGATGTGTGAATAAATCAGGTGCCCAAGTTTCCCAATTACTTTTGTCACACAAAGCTTTTTAATTTGAAGCTTTCATTCTTTCAGATATTGCGACACCCAGTTTCAGTCACCAGATAATCTTGAACTGGTTTGTTGTTCTCTTGCAGGACTCATCTGTATTAGGTCAGTTAGGGTGGCCTGATATGCGCCTACCAATCCTTTACACATTATCGTGGCCAGACAGAATTCATTGCTCAGAGACAACATGGCCCCGACTTGATCTTTGCAAGTATGTAACTCAACTCTTCAAACACGTTACACTTTGCTTTGGATCCTATACACAAATTGCTTAATTGCACTCACAATAAGAGTTTGTAAAAGATTACAACTCTTGCCCTCGCGTATGCTATGAGAAAGTCATAACAACTTTGTTCTAACTGTAGAGTGTGCTCTTTCTGCATCTTACCAAACTTGAATGTGATGTTCACCTCTCACATCTTCTTGATTACATGATTAGGGTGTCAAAAATAGCTTGGACTAGATATGTCACATTATGTGAACAATAACTCTAGCATAATCCATTTTACTTGAATAATGTACATCTATTTCAAGACTGAAAGAAGAAAAGACATGACCAGCTGACATGATTTTGCGGCAGCCACACCATTTGCTGGAATCTGTAAATAGATAGCTTGCCACTCAAGATAGTGGCAATCTTCCAAATACATACATGTTTTTTTGAGTTCAGTGGAATCAATTAAACAGCAGAAGCTTCAGGAGGCAAATTCACAACCATTCAGGTCTTTTTCTGATTACCATGCCTGATAAGTTCGTTTCGTAAATTGATGGTACAGGCTTGGTTCGTTGACCTTTAAAGCTCCTGATAATGTGAAATACCCATCCATGGACCTTGCCTATGCGGCAGGGCGAGCTGGAGGCACCATGACAGGAGTCCTTAGTGCTGCTAATGAGAAGGCTGTGGAGATGTTCATCGATGAGAAGTACTCTTTTTTTTTTCCCTTTCTTTCCTTTTTCATCTCTAGTACCTGCAATACTCCGAATATTTTCTCAACGCAAACCTATATTGGTTACCTTGACATTGTAATTCAATTTGCAAATCATCTGTTGTGGTAGTATCATAAAATGCTGATCAAATCATCCTACATTCTTTTCTCCTAGATTGGAGTTGGATACATTTATTGACAAATTTGTTCTTGTTCTGCAGAATCAGCTATCTGGATATATTCAAGGTGGTGGAGCGTACGTGCGATGCTCACAGAAATGACCTAGTCGCCAACCCTTCACTCGAGGAGATTGTACACTATGATTTGTGGGCTCGGAAATATGCTGCGGATCTACAACCATCATCTGCATTGAATCCTGTTCCTGCTTGAGTTGAGTGCTGCATGTAGTCAGGTAGCTCCTGTCAACTATTGTTACGGGCGTAAATTCAAATCCAAATATAGTGAAACGCCCATTCTGCTGTAACAACAACAAAAAAAGAACAAAAGTTTGGATATATTCATTTATTTTTCTCGGTCTTCATTGGTGAAAGTTCAGCTGGAACACTAGTGAGCAAATAAGTGCATGTTCAATCGGCTTTTTCTGCTTGGTTTCAGTTCTGAGAAGCTCCAAATTGACACAGTTTGCATCTTAATTCTGATTCAACCAAGCATTGGATCATATTGGATCATCTCGATTCAAAATGATTTGGTTGACCTGTAACGTTGACTCACATGCATATATTCTCTACCTTGGAACTTTGTTCATCCTGTCATCCTTGCACATCGCCACAACTTGGGACAAACAGCATGCGTAATACTGTTAGATTCATGGAAGCTGAGATTGCTAGCTCCAAATCACCTATGTGTACTTCATATATATGATGTGCGCGACAAGGGCACTAGACAAAGTCCTCTGCTCCTCAGATCTCGCTTTCCCATCTCATCTCTCTCCTCATTTGATGCCTATTTATGCGGAAAACAAAGAGAAGAATTAAAATGCCAATTAAGCTGAAATGAACGAAATCAAAGGTCAAGGTGCTAATTCTCATTAATTATCTTGGTTTTCTGCTACCATGTTTTGCTTAACCTCACATTTATGTCTCTAAAGAGAATGCTCTGAAGAAGACACCAGATGCAATTGCAAAGGTCATTGTGTTCAGCATATTGGCCTGATGTGATTAATGTCAATACTGTGGGATGCTGCTACATACCTCTTGCATTGTTCTTGGTCTTTTATTGCCAGATGACCTCAAGTATGGTAAACTTAGCTTCTGCAAGATGTGGAAGGAGAAGCAATAAGTTGGTAGTAATACAAATTGATCACATCAAAGCAGAAGCTTGTAATGGTGGGGGTTTACCTCAACCTGATCCAGAAGAAACTTAATGTATCCAATGGCCTCCATTAGCACTGAAGCTGTATCAGTCTACACATGTAAACCAAGTTCATTAACCCACCATATATCTTCACTTGAGCCCAAGAAGCACTAACAATTTGATAGTTAAGAGGCCTTAATTACCTTGCCAAATGGTGCCACCAGCTGCTGCAATGCTGCAATCCTGTCACCCATCTTCTCCTTCCTCACCTTTTAATGTAATATCATGCCCATTGCAACCAAAATGATCAATAAAAAAAGTAGAAGAGAATCAATTACAACTAAATCCACTGCTACAATTCTTGAAGAACTCGAAGCATATACCTTGAAAGGAGAGAATGAAGAGTGCTGCTCAAATCGAGGCTTTGTGGGTTCTGTCTGAAGTGGTTTGTGCTCCCAACTGCTGTTCACTGTTCTTACTTCTGCTGCTCCACTGGCTAAAGATGGCATCTTTAAAGCAGCAACAGTTAAAGAAAACCTCATGTGTTAGCTTGATTGATGTGTTTGGATCCCTAAGAAAGCAAGTTAATCTACTTTCTTGTTTCGTCTACAATCTTCCTTTAAAAAAGATGATTCATAAATGTCTCTCAGAAAAGCTGGAAAAGGGTTATGTACTATATATTATTGTATCAGTGTAGGACCTCTGGAACAGAGAACAGACGCATCATGAACCTGAGATATCTGGTGGAGCTAAAAGACAGTGCAAACCTGAAATCTCTTAGAAACATCATAAGAATCCATCTAGGTGGTAAATAAATTGTAATGAACGCTGATATTTCCCTCATTTTAACACAAATTCTTAGATCTGATTGCAGTGCATTACAACAAACAGAGAGCTGGGCACTGTGCGAAACAGGAATAATTTCCTATGCTCAGCTGAAACATACTGCCTTCATGGCTATTATGACTGCCATGATACTATCGAAACCTACTAAAAAATCCTATCAGATAGGGAAAAAAAGGAGAAACACAATGCAAAAACTTATTAGATTGGAAATAAGAGAAAAAAAAACATGTCAAGAAGATTTAAGGTCAACAACTCCATGATAGTGTTAAGAGATCATGTTGAGGTCTGTGCATTATTAGCATGTGTGGGGATTAAATTTTCATTTGCAGAAATAAACAAAAATCCATAATAACTAAAGTGTCTGATAGAATTCATTGTTCTGTTTCTCTGAGAGTGCGTGCCTCATCTTGATCTTGACTAGAATTATGGCTGTGGCATACTGCTATTGCTGCATCATGATGCTGTAATAAATCATCATTCTTATATTTCTACACTTGCTTTTATGCTTCTTTGCTTCGCTATCATAGTTTCGATGGTTTACCATTATCATTACACATTTTGGAACAGAGAAGTACTATGTACCCACCTTCCGGTGGTGATGGAATGGCCCTTGAAATGATTCCGGAAGATGGCCAAACCCAGAAGATGCATCCTCGCCTAGCAATGAGACCATACCAGTGAACGAAGTTTGGCAGAAGCTCCTTCCTAATCTAGCTGAAGCCAACAGATCCATTGCATGAAGATCCATGTCCGAGGATCCTGAGAGAAATGGCAGACGAGGACTGGAGTGTGACAAATAAGCAGTCGAAAAACCCATGCTGAAGCTCTCTCGACCACCTCCATGGCTGTCACACCACGAGTTTTCAGACAAGTTTCCGGGCAGAGGCTGAAGGCCATCGGTCTGGCGACCTGTATCTATTCTTCTTACGTAGAGCTTCTCATGTGGCCGGCAGTCGTCATTAGAAGAGAAATCTTTGCAGAACCCATTAAGCTTTGGAAAGGAGGAGTTATCTGGAAACTCTGTGATCTTAGTTGGGTGGAGTTGGTGCACCGGCAGCTGGTAGGTGAAGAAGCCCTCTTCACAGTGAAACCCTAGGTTTTGAATAGTTTGCGAGCTAGCTGGTGAGTGTCCATGGCTTAAACTGAAAGCTCTTTGGCTGGATACAGTTCCATTGGCATCTGAAACCATCTCGTTACAGTTCCTACACAAGGCCAATGTAATCACTCTAGGATCTACAAGAGAATTCGAAACGGAAGCCTCCAAACCGGCCAACCAAGAAAATTCCAAATCCAAGGAATTAGATAAAGTCTCTCTTGAGACATTCGGATTGATCAGTACAATGTTGTACAAATAATAAGTTTCAGTTTCGAGTTGATATCATATACGTTATTTTATTCAATATAATGAAAATATTTGTTTTAATTTTTTAAAATATAGAGAAAATCTTTCACGTAGAAGAAACCAAAGATTAACGGTTGCTCTATACACGAAGGAAGAATACAGCGACTTACGATGTCTGGCTTTGGTTCCACGGACGGTCGTAGAAAGCTGGAGTTGCCACTACAGTGGAGAAGCCATGCGGCTCTTCTTCTTGATGTGAAGACCTCATCACGGTGTTTCAGAAGCTTGATAGTTCCAAGAAGAAGTAAAAGGAGAGAGGTTGCTGGAGCTTCGAACTCTCCTTCTCGATCCAAGGAAACCTTTGAGCAGCTGCTGATGCATGTATTACACGAATCTACGTCTGTTCTCCAACTTCTTTCGCATATGCATCTTTCCTCCTTACTTGGGAGCACCCATATGCATCTTCCAAGCTTCACAAGCCGTGTGGAGATGTAGTGAAATAGAGGGTGGAGGGGGAACTGATGGATTACTCCTCGGATGTGTCTCTTATAGCACTTTTCTTTCCGGAGGAACTTTCCGCGGCTCTGAAATTAAAGATAAGAGATCATCGCTCTCTCTCTCTCTCTCTCTCTCTCTCTCTCTCTCTACAGATCCAGTCCTTTTCTTCTCTTCTTTCCTCCTTCAATGATGATGCTCTTGCTGGCAATCACAGGGGGATGATTGCACCTCTGCTGCCATTATAAGCCTTCGATCCCAAGGCTTTGCAGCAAGACCTCCATACAATGGTAATAATAGCACCCGTGCTCTCTCTCTCTCTCTCTCTCTCTCTCTCTCTCTCAACACAGTCAATGCAGGACATGTCAGCCCTTCTTATCACATGGAATCTCAAATATGTCACAAATAGTACTTTAGTAGTTTAACACATGTTTGAGGCAACTTTACACCATGTCTTATGGTCGCAACATATATATAGATAATAATGAAAGCAAAGACAAGGCAGTGCCTTTTTTACCTTCTTGCTTTCCTTTTGGTTTATATGATATTAATACCGATCCTAAAATTATTTTGCATTTATTATATTTTAAAGTTTTTTCTTTCTTTACCTTTTAACTTTTTGGAATCAAATTGTATTATTGGTTTCATTTGTAGTCATCAAAGGTCACTTTTCCATCTAATATTAACCCATCCATGAATAATAAATAATTTAAATTCATCTATATCCTTTTTAACTTCGAAATCGACTGCTGAGCTGCTCAAGTCTTCAGCTGTCGTGATGATTCCATGGCAGCAACATTAGGATGCATGCAGAGTTTTGCCGACCACCCTCTCTCCAAAAGAAGCTCTACCATAATAAGCTCAGCCCCCACAGACCTTCATGTCAGGGAAAAAGAGGCTGGAGGAATGTGAAGCAGACGCGTGCTTTCCTTTGCCTGCTTCACCTCTCCTTTCTTCTTTACTCATCACCCTGTACCAACCACTATCCTACATCCATTCCCAGAAAGCATGGAAGCTTTTGTCTAGATTAGGCTACATCTTCCATGTTCTATGCATGGGACTCGTCTTTTATCTCTACCACGATAGATTGACCGACGAGAGAGATCTTACTGTTGAGAACTGTTGAACTTAAATGGTTCCTTGCTATTTGAGACCACCATCGGTATGTCTTTTCTTTGTCTAAATTGAATATTGTCTACTTATTACTTGTTGATGGTCTTGCGCTTAAGGGTCAAATAGTTTGATCAGTCCCATGTTATCGGGGAGGGAGAGAAAATCTCCAAACCAAAATAAATTTTAGAGATCAATTATCAAAAAATATACTAAAGGTCGATACAAGATTAACATAGTTCGACACTTCTTACCTACATTCGTAAAAATAAATAAATAAATAAATAAATAAATTACCATACGAGATCAGTTACAAAATCCTTAGGTTAATTCCAACTCAAACGTAATTCTCCTTATATATTCTTCTACATAAACCTCATATAATTTTTCATGCTTTCTTTAACCTATTATCTCCTATCAAAATCTAAATACACATAAGATATTATCATGATAAATTTTAATTTACTAAGAACTCGTGTTCTTAACAACTGTGGATGAGTGCTGTTCAATTCCAAAAACGCATGAACAGAAAAAGCAGCTGCTTTTCTTAGAAATACAAAGATCGCATCATAATGCTTTCACTTTCATCAATCTGACAAGGTTCTAAAATCACATGACTAAAAGCACAGCCTGCCATGATTGTCAACTTTAAGGTCCCTTCCATGGGCAAGGACAAATCAACTTGGCTTTCCCTAGCCGGCCTTAACCAGTCAACTCCAGCTCTTTGATGCTTTCCTTCCCTTTTAAGCGTACATCAGTATCCGCATTAATCCTTCTCTGCACTGTCCACTGCGGATAAGTCCGTAAGGTTATGTATGAATCAAAGACACTCATGGAAGCCTGTGGAAGACGACTTCGTCGGGCTTCTTTTTCTTGCTCCCAGCTGCTGTGTGCTGATATGTACCATGGCGCGGGATCAAAGTTGTCCTGAGAAGAAGACAGGAAGTTGAAGGGGAAGAATATATGCTTCGAGTAGTCTGCGTCCCTATCGCGTAGATGACATGGAGTGTCATTTCCATGCGAGGACATACGTGACATGCGTGCATCCGCGTGTCTTATCGTCTGCAATTGACCAGCATCAGATGCCAAGATTCTGATTTGGACAAAAGAAAGGCATCAAGACCGCCAAGTATGATCCTCCCCGGAGATTGATTCTAGCTGTGTATGAACATAAAGTACACAATACAATAATATAGATTTGGGACAGTGATAGTGTCGCACAGCAACGGTACGACACTCATCGACAGGTGCATGTTGCAGTAACACAGCTTAAACGATATAAGGAATCTACATGTTTGTTGCACGCACGAGATTATTTCCTGAAAACTCGATCATAAACAACATTGATCAACAGATCATATTGGAAGTGATTCAGGGGGGAACCCAGTTAACCTGCCAAAGATACAGCACTTGCTTTGGCAGAAAAGCTGCGTGCAGGTTAAATACAAAGAGAAGGTACTCAAAAAGCAGCTCCAAATAAATAGCTCAGGTGAACTTTTTTTCTTAGAAGCGTTGGACCTTTCCTTAATCACTTACAATTAAAGAAATATTCCGTGTATTTTGATTCTTTTGGGATTTTTTTTATCCTTCTCTGGTAACCATGTCCATTCTCATATCATTAATTCCAGTAAGATCCTTTTTCTTACTACATACATGATATATTTATTTTTCGAAAGATAACTGATGAAATTCCAGTACAAAACCTTATAATGATATGTTAAATAACACATTCATTTCAATTATACGAAGTTCCTCTATTGTCTGACACTTCGATCTTTCCAACTGAAACCAACAAACGAGTATGCCATTGCAGCTACGGAGACCAAACGCTACAGAACGATACCACCTAGCTGAGCTAGACTTGATGGAAAACATTAAAGTGCGAAGAGTGTAGAGACTAATATGGAACGCAACCACCTGAATAGTTCCATCGGCAACAGTTGAGCACAAATGTGTCCTTAAATAATAAATCGTTTAAAAAAAATGTTACTCTGACTGATAATTTTGGCCAATGCATAAACCAATATAGTAAAAGACATGATGCAACCCACCAAAAAAAAAAAACAATTAATTAATTAATTACATTATTGTATTAAAGCATTACAAGAAAACTCGACACCAAGAATATTTTGTCAGGCAATTTCTTCAATCGCAACTACATTCTGCGTTGTCATTACATTCTCAAATTATACAAAATCCAGTTCTCGTAAAATGCTTCAACTAGCCACATAAGTCTAAGTGTACACCATCAAATGATTTCAGCACCTGCAGTATAGATTCTATAGCAGCAGCAGTAGCGCTCCAGTGTAGGGAAAGTTAAAGATAGATCAACAAAATGCCAAGGGCTTTAGTGTAAGACAAAGATAACATTTGATTTTCTCATTAAATCAAGTCAGTGAACAGTTTCGGCTTGATTGCGGTTTTCCAGACCAGCAACTTGGGGCAATGAAGATATAATTGATAAGTAGAATATTAGCCGACTATTTGTTTCATAGCTCAAGCAACATTTATTTCTTTGCAGCAGATTCAACTTCCAGCTCTATCCCAGCTTCTAGTTCTCTCTCAATCCAAGCATCTTCACTGGTATCATTAGCCATCATGGCCAGCTTATTCATCTCTTTTTCCCTCTTCCTCTTCTTGATAGTTGCCTTGATTCTATCCATGTCAACTTTACCAAGTCCACCACAAGATTGGTCCCCTTTTGTCCTTGCTTGGTCCATGTTCCTTCCCGACATCTCATTATCGGCAACATCAACGGGGATTTCAAAACCCCTCATCTCGCTCTGAGGTTCGAATCTATCCTCCACCAGGTTCTGCTCTCCAGCTGCATTTGGCATGTTGATCACGACATGATTGGTGGAATCCTTGGGTTTATGGCTTTTATGATCTATATCAGATTCTTGGCTAGAGCTGCTTCTGGAGGAGTCTGGCCGATCCAAAACAGAGTCTGGGCTGCTGGAAACCTCTTTGTTGGCTGCTATAGGAACTGGTTTCTCGAATGGAGTCACAGAGCACCTTCTATTATACACCAAAAGCTGCTTCATTTGCTGAATTACCACTGCAAGTAATAGATAAGTAAGAAAAACGGCCACAAGGAGTAATCACAATTAGTCAGCATTCCAGAAGCTGCCTAACCTTCTAATTGCTGAGGGTTGACATCAAATTCATGCCACCAGACATAACCTCCCCTCTCTGAAGGAAGTTTTAGATTATGAAGCTTAGCAGCAAGAAAGAGGGAACCAGCTGCTATGTAATGGGATTTATATTGCAGGCACAATGTAGTCCAAAGCCTATGAGTAGAAATAGGAGATATATTAGGCTTTACGTGGAGTTAAATTCTATTGGGGGCAGGATGAGCATAAACTACATACCAGTCATTCACATAGTTCCATGCTACTTGTCTTACTTCCTTCTGAGTAATCCCAAGTTTCTTTAGAGCATCGAGAAGTGGTTTATAAGGATGAAGAACAGTAAAATCAAACCGAATTGTTGATAGAAGCAGTCTCTCCCCAATCAATATCAAAGCCTTTTGCTTCTCAAAAGTGTCCTGGTTGTTTAACAAGAAACAAGAAAAATAAGCACAGAGTTAAAAGTGATTGTGAACTCATGCTACTACAACAGAAGTTTGTGATACTTTTTGACGAATTTTCCTTATAGCAGTGGGATCTCTTTTGTACATTGTTTCATATGCCACAACAACAATCTTGTCCAAACCACAAGGTGTCTCTTCTACCTTGGAAGCAAGAAACATGCATACTGTTGCAACTGTCTGCAATAAACCCCACCATGAAATTCAGAACAAAGTAATCAACAACCTAAATATAACTGTAAATCCACATAATATAACCATGTTAAGCATAACTCCTGAGAATAAAAATAAAAATTTTGAACTGTAAGTACAAATAAAAGGTGGGTGCAAAACATGTACAGTATTCACATGTCCGCATCATTATCACTGCACTGGCACCATTAAGGTAAAGCAAGTAGGGATTTCTGCACTTTGGCAGTATTGGTGTAAATTGTCAAATTCCAGAGGGAAAAACAGGTTGTGCATGGTGTAATACATAGTTTTACTTACACGGTAAAATTACTGTAAAGATGGAGCCATCAAGCTTGTCATATTCTCCCTACAATTGCAAGAATCTGGTGTGCAGATAAGGTAACTTGATTTCCAAAAGCCAATGTGCAATATAGCAGGATTACATTTGCAAATAAGTTTTTGTCAGGTCCTCGCAGTCTGCAAAACCTCAGACAGGACTACAGAACCCAGGACTAACCCAATATTTGGTATATAGTCTGGGAAAAGGTCAATATCTGATAGGAACAAAAGTAAAAAATAAAGCCTTAGAAGATTTCAATAATTTGAGTGAATATTAGTATGTAAAACGCAAGTATTTTATTTGTTCAAAAGGTTTACCTGTGAGCGTTAAGACAAAATTTTGAGCTTCTGAAAGTCTTAATAAAACCAACTGAAAACATGTCCCACATACTTCAAATAAATAATTGGAACCAACTAGAACCCAAATTATATAATAACGATCATACTAGTAGGACCACTAAAAACCTTCCATAGAAGTATCATTAAGTGATTTTCTTCATTTCACATTGAACAAAGGGATAAAGGAGACAACATCCTCCAAATTAATTGTTTAGGGCGCCCTATGACATGATCTAGGAAATGGCTCAAGAAATCCTATTAAAAAAGAAGTTTTAGGAAATGATCACAAAGAGACAGAAGTTTTGTTGGACCCAGGAAATGGCTCAAGAAATCCTATTAAAACCTGAAACAGTGATTTCTTGTCAGACAAACACATAAGCAGCCCACCCCACTGGTATTAGTGCTACATCTTGGTATTAGTGCTACATCTTGAAAGACACATAATTGCACCATTACATCTTTTGTAATCAGTTCTTAATGATCTGGCTCTAGAATCAAACTTTAAATGCCTATTCAACAAAATAGCAAACATTTTTTACTCCAACTGGAATATATATTAAGAACTTAGTTCATAGATAAGTAAAAGGTTCTTTATAAACCATAATTGATGGATAAAATTTAAACATTAAAGACAGGATGTGCTCTACAACTGACCTCTCCTTTATAAAACAAGACACATATAGGTGTCAAATTACTCCAAGGAATAAATACAACAAATAACAACAACAAGACATAATGTCCCAATCAGCTTTTCAAAAAGGAACTATTAAACCATGGAGGGATAGATTTCCATTCAATAAAATCTTTCATTTTCAGTGAAGAAATCCTGGAAATATGGATTTACATCAAATAATCTCTCTTTTACTTTCAGTTAAAAATTCCTTCAGATTCTTTAAGTTGTTTGTAAATTGTGGAATCACAAAGTAAAGAATTTGAAGTACAAAATTCTACGACTGCATTAGGGACCCAGAGTTCAAAGTATGACAACTAAGGGAGACAAATTGCCAAATATCCCAGGTCCACATTGTCGCAGCTGAGCATTCACATCAACTTTGTACCTTCTCTTTTTCCCAAGTAGGAAGACTAATTAAAATTTTTGATACAAATATAAAACTTTGATCTCAAGAATTAATAATAAAAACTTGTTTTGTTCCTTGTTTTATTAAATTTTTGTCTCTAAAAGAACTTAAATGAAGTAAATTCATGACTACACTGAGTTAATCTGTTGATAAAAGTTTGGGTCCCTTTGCTCTCTACCAAAACCAAGACAGAACTAGAATCTCTATTAGTCAGAAACAGCTGGGATAATATTAAAATACCATACTAAGGATGAGTCAGCTATAAGGTGGACCATAAGTTCAAATAATGAATAATTGGCAAGCATAATTTTGTTAAGGTATTTAAATGAAATAGCCAACACTATCCATAAGAAACTGCTGCAAATATCAAGCAAACCAAATAAATGAATGGAGACATTATTTTCTTGTCCCATGAATTAGAAGATCCCCCATGTGGCATAAAAAAAAAAGAGCTTTCTCCAAAAACAATGAGTCACATGACTTAAAAAAAAAACAAATAATAAACCAACTAAAAGATACTTTCCAAGCTTTTGGTCAGAATGCCCTCCATATGGAATGGAGCAAGTATTGATGTATAATATCTTCATATATGATGAACAATATTCATTAGCATAGATCAATATTGATACCAACACATTTTTCAATACCAAGAACTGAGAGAAAGAAAATAAGGGCTGCATGGGAGACATAACAGGAACACAAATGAAGATAAGAATGCAAGTACCCAAACCTGCCAGTCATTCTTCACATGGGATTGGTGGAGATAGAAACGATGACAATACATAATGGCAGTGGCGATTGTAACTTGTGGCCTGCAATACATCAAAGTTATCGACATCTTCATTTATGTCAAAACAGCATATCAGAAATACAAAATAATAATGTAGTGCCAAGGCTAAACACTGTCATCAATGCAGGGCAATTACCCAAACAAACAATAATAAAAATAAGGTATATGGATGAGCAAGGTTAGGAGTGAAAAGGACTAATGTAAACAGAAACTGGCCCTGTTAAAGAGGGGAAGATGACATTGATGTGGGGATAAAGCAAGCAAATTATTAGGATAAAATGGATTTTACAGTGTAATATGTTATCTTCATATTTAACACACTTATGTATAGCTAAGGCACTTTACAGCATAGATCCAATACCAACATTTTCTTACTCCCATATATGAGAAGCCAACTGGTGTTTCCCATCAGGAAGCCAAATCAAAATGATCACTTGCTATAATTAAAAATAAAAAGAGTTTGGCTAAGTGGTAATTGGTTCATGTTACAAAACACCACCATACCAATTCACATGCATGTCGTCTAAGAATCTTATAATATGGTACTCTGGTACACTAGTACAGTAACAATGATTTTACAAAAGAAATTGGTACATTAAAATAAAGTTTTGTAAAATATCTAAGTCTGACTTTACAAGTGCAACAAACATGTATATGAAATAAGGAATAATGCAGCACTGGACCAGCAAAACGATAATCATATGCAACATATGCAAAACTTAAAAAGAAATCAGATAAAGTGCATACAATCCAAGTCTGATGCCAATATCCCGAATGAATGAACAGTATAACATCCGAAGTTGTGACTCCTTCCTCGAATCAATGCCATCTTTCCTTGAAGGAGAGTTCTCCTCGATCTCTTCTTTACTGAAATACCAGGTTGACCTGAATCGATGAAGCAATTTATTTTCCACACTGCACTCCCCATTTATCATTCCAATGTCGAAAGAGGCCTCTGATGGCTCTCCCATCTTTTTTGTTTTGCCTTGCAATCCGAAATATTATAGCCAATTAGTGCCTTTAAATTGCTTGTTCCACTATGCAAAGTGATACTCTTGACTTTCTTGAAGGATCGGACCAATTTCCTGCAAAGTGATATATATGCTTAATGAGATCAACAGAGACCAAAAAAAAAGGTTCGCATGCCGAAGTAGCATTCAATTGCAAAGGAAGAAAAAAAGGTACTAATTGCAAAGTAAACCGCTTCTCCCAGCATGCAAATTGGACTTTGAACAACATGTTGTTGGCAAAACTGAAAGCTAACTAGAGCATGAATGAGTATTTTTTATTACTTCCATCTTCAATTATCTTAGTTCTCTTCAAGATATTAGTTACTTTAATTTTCATTTAATGGAGTTCTCTGCATAAAATTATTATTTATCAGAGACGAACAATGTGGAAAACAACATCAACTCAATAATTCACTTGTAGCATGGCTCTTGATGGAAATGCATGAGCAGATCATATTATATACCCATTCATAATATACTGATACAGAAGTTGCAGTTCAAACAAGTACAAACAAAACAGTAAAAAATCTTCAATAACTAAAACTTCAAAAGGAACAATCATCGTATCCGTAAATAGTGAGTTCTAATAAAGAAGAATCCCTAATTTGTAAGATTAAAATTAACTCCCTATTTGGCACAGCATTGCATTCCAACAAATCACTTGCATGTTTATACACGCTGCAATATGCTCGACTCATTTTTTCACTTTTTTTTTTCTCACAAACTAAATAATTAATCAATATGCAATAAAAGAAAAAAGATCTGCACATCCGTAAGGCAAATGTGCCGAACTAAATTTTATTATATGTTCTCTTCCGATATACATCACCATCGTATAGCAAGGAGGTAAAAGCCACCCAGAACGAAATAAATGTAACATCTTGAATTATGCACAAGTACGGAACCCACAAAAGATGACAAAGAAAGCCATGGGCAACAAGAGACTTAAGAGATCAGAAGCGGAAACCTCAAAACAATTCTTCGATAGCATATCTTTCAAGAAACGTACAACTTCTACAACTAGGACGAATACGGATTCGGGAGCACCCCAACGTCACCCGAAAGCCAAATCTCGTGAAGAGATCTAAAATCACCAAATCGAATAATAGCCCAAAGGAAACGAACTGGTTCCAAGAAATCAACGAAGAACGAAGAACAGCTTGGTCAAGAACCTGATTACCTCAAAAACCATCGGAACATGGGGGGAAAGGGGCGAACGAAATTGACGAGCGCGAGCCCAAATTCGAAGGAAAACAAGTTACCTTGGGAAAGATGCGCAGCGATTGCCTCTGAATTCCTAGGACGGAAGGAAGAGACGAGTGCCCAAGAACAAGAAATGGAAGAGGAGGGGAGACCGGGAGGAGAGAGAAGGATGATGATAGAGAAACCGCACAAGTATCCAACTAACCCTAACCCGACATAATTATTATCCTTTTTCTATATGCACCATAAATGGTAATTAATTATCCGTAAGGGCATAATTGTAAATCTGGGCAGCTGATCCTTCTCACGTTGTTTCCTTATTTATTTATTTTTTTCTTTTTTCCTTAAATAATTAAATTGCTGGTGGCAAATTATTCGGAAAACAAATAAGAGTTTGTATGTGACATATGAGAGAAAGTAGTCTTTTAATTTTTAGATGAACTAAAATATTAATAATTATTTTATGTCAATTACGAGATTAATTTTACTATATATACACACACACACACACACATATATATATATATATATATATATATATATATATATATATATATACCATCAAAGAATTTATTGAGTGTGGGGAGAAACAAAATCTTTTGAGGATCTAAAGTATTTTTCTTTATGCTCTATGCTGTCCTTCACAAAAAAAAAAATACTCATATTAAAATTCAGAAAATACTCGTCAATCAGTAACATAAAATATTTTACCGAGAAGTTTTAAAGTGGAAAAACAGATGGATGTTCAACTCCTTCCTCCCCTGCGTCGAAGGGAAATCTGAAATAAAATGGCAGTCAAAGTCTCAGGCTTGGGATGCCTTTAAGCCTCCTGTTCATTTGATTTCTCCTTTGTCTCCTTCTCTATGATAAGTGGTATTATCTGTCAGTACGTAGTTCTTATGAACGCATCTTTAATTAGTGTTTAGCTAGCCTTCATTCTGTTGACTTTTCTACATAATTTTAGAAAAAAAAGAAAAAACAATAATAGAAAAAAATAGAAGTAAATTCAATTTTCAATAATCCAAAAACACTTATTTATTTTGACTAAAGATAAAGTATATTTAAAAAATAATAATAATAAAAAGTATTATATCTCAATAAATTTTTTCATCCTAATCTATTTATTTAAATCTAAATTTTTCATCCTAATCTAAATTTATTACATCCTAATCTAAATAATTCTAACTATTTAAATTAATCTTAACCCACCTCGTTAATTCAAATAATTGTAACTTGAAATTATCTTCAAAATAATTTTTTTCTTTTGCCAAAGCTTTTGTGAAGATGTCGACAAACTAGTCTTGAATGTTGCCTCCATCATTTTTACATCTTTTAACTTTTTTCAAAATTTTTAATGGTTACTCATCTTCACTTTTCTAGACTCGTCCAAATCATTATTGTCTTTTGATGCTTAGATTTCTTAGCTTGTTATCCTTTTAAATATTCATCATTAGAATTTTCTTTTTGAACTGTCATCCTCATCTTCTTGTTATAAGACATGTCTTATCAATTTGAAATTTGAATGATTCATCATGTCAGATAGTTTGTATAAACTCACAAAAATTGAGATGATCAAAGTTTTTATACCATAATATCGATTAATTAGTAACAATATCATATAAGAAAAAATCCAAAAATAATAAGGAAACACTTTATTTTTTTGTTATCCACACAATTGATATTAACTTTCCTATTTTTTTTTTAATCATAAATCAAGTATTTTTTATCATCAAAATAGCATGATATCCTTTTCTCATCGGTTATCCTATATTAATGAGATTTTATTTTAAACGAAAAATAAATATTATATTATCATATGATTACTGTATCCACTATCCAAAAACCAAACATATCTAGAATATTCTTCATAAGATGCTATAAAGAAAATATTTTCTTCATCTTTCTTTATCATTATTTATTTCATGATAATTTATTTGATTTTTTTCCAACAATATTTTTCAAGATGGCCATATTTTTTACAGTAAAAATTGAGAGGAACATTTGAATTTTTATTTTTGTACCAACAATCCTATTCAATATATCCCATTTTCTTATAACAAAAACATTGATGGGTTTCTTTGTTACAATTATTTGAGTTCCTCTAATCCTCATTTGATTGATCACAACCTATACTATTTTGATCTCTCTTTTGAGATTTGATTTTTGAAAATTTCTTTTTGATCTATGAATTTGAAGTTTCAGATCTATTTGTTTTCTATTTATGAACTAAAAGAGAGCCTATTAATTCATGAATAGATAATGTACTTGTATCTTTAAATTTTCTATAGAGATACAAGTACATTAATTCAGATCTATTTGTTTTCTATTTATGAACTAAAAGAGAGCCTATTAATTCATGTATCTTTAAATTTATAGATCCTATTAATTCAGATCTATTTGTTTTCTATTTATGAACTAAAAGAGAGCCTATTATTTCATAGATCCTATTAATTCAGATCTATTTGTTTTCTATTTATGAACTAAAAGAGAGCCTATTAATTCATGTATCTTTTAATTTATAGATCCTATTAATTCAGATCTATTTGTTTTCTATTTATGAACTAAAAGAGAGCCTATTATTTCATAGATCCTATTAATTCAGATCTATTTGTTTTCTATTTATGAACTAAAAGAGAGCCTATTAATTCATGTATCTTTAAATTTTCTACTACGATCTTTGAGATTTTCACCATAAGATATCATTTTATTCACAATAAAAAATACTTTTAAGAAGAAATCAGTGATAGATTTAAAATTTTTCATTATAAGAGTTTTAAATTCAATATTTTGAATTTGAAGTTTTAAAATTTTTACCTTGTTTGTGCTTTCAAACACACTTCTTAATATTTTTCAACATTTTGTTGATGTTGATGCCATCATGATTCGAAAAAATAGGGAATCATTTATTGCTTGTTGTAGTTGACTCCTGCATCTTACTCTATATTCTTATTTATTTAATTTTTTTATCTTTAGTAATATTGGGATCCTGTATATAATACTTAATAAAATCATTCTCTACTAAATTTCATAATTATTGTGAGGTAAATAAAGTTTTCATCTTAACAGTCCAAAATTGATAATTTTCACCATTGTAGATAGGATGAAGTTGATTAGGAACGTTTACTACAATGTCTATAATTTTTTTTCTCTTTTTTTAGATTTCCTAGCGTTCTCTTCTCTTTTGATCGATGTAGTCCTCTTGATCTTCTTCCAACTGAGCTTTGATAGCACACTGTTAGTTTTTTTTTTGCATAACTTTAAAGAGAAGAGAAAAATAATAATAGAAGGAATTAGGAGTACATTCAATCTATAGTATTTTGTATTGATCCAAGTCCACTTATTTATATTGACTAAAAAATAGAATATAAGTTTTTTTTTTAAATAAAAAATATCATATCTCAATAAATATTTTCATCCTAATATATTTATTTAAATCTAAATTTTTATCTAATCCTAACTATTTAAATAATTCTAATTATTTAAATTAATCTTAAATACGTTGCTGCTTCAAAAGCAATGCAGAATCGGAGTTTATTAATTGATATTGATGGTGTACTCTTTCTTTCACAAGCTCTGGTAGTGAACCCCTTTTCAATTTCATAGCCTGCCTCCCCAGATCGATCAACAACATTTGTAGAACATTTAATGGATCGGATGAGGAGGGTGCAAAAGAGTAGAGGAGGTGAGGGTTTGTGCAGAACCAACTCAGAGGCCGAGTACGTACTTGTTGGAATCATGAGGAGACATTACAAACTGATCGCGCGGCCACAAACTTCTCCGGCTTCGGCGAGAAGTGGTACTTATACTCTGCGGTGGGCTTCACATAGATGCCAATGTTACAAAGATACCTACTGTTGGAGTATCCATGAAACCCCCAGAAATGAACACCGTTCCGAATGTTGAAGCAGAAGGGAGTGCCGCTTTCTCGCCCAAATGGCCCGTAGGTGTTTCCTCCGTTGGTAACAAAGGTGAGCGACAGTACAACGTCTATACCATCATTTCCAAGTGGCCCATAATAGCCTTTCACTACTGTGAGCGTCTCCCAGGACAACAAATTAATCTGCATGCATCCATGCAGGCCTATGCTTTCATTTGATGATGATATATATATATATATATATATATATATATATATATATATATATATATATATATAGAGAGAGAGAGAGAGAGAGAGAGAGAGAGAGAGAGAGGTAAGTAGGATGGCTTACACAATCGAATCTGTCTCCATCGCCTCCATGCCTATGAGCAAGAATTGGAGTTCCCTTGAAATCATAAGCCACTTGGATGGAATTAATGGCGTCACCATGGGTTATGAGGATCTGCTTGATTTTACCGTAGCACACTTCATCCCAGCTGGAGCTCCTATGAGAAACTCGCCCTGTCACACCAAGCATGATAGCGAACTGGTCGTCCTGTATGATGCTCTGTAATCCACGTCACAGGTTAGAGGTCAGTTTCTTTCTTCATCAAACTAAGTCGATCAAATATCTCTGTAAGAATCAGATTAAAGTCTACCATCTTCAAACCTTCTGCAGAGAGAGATGAATTGCCTGTATGCATCAAGTCCAAAAACAAAAAGAGAACCATTATATATACATATAGGTAGTTCACTATGGAACTGGAGACACTGCGAACTAATAAGTAGAGGTAGCATGCAGCATACCTTCTTCTTCTTCTTCTTCTTCGTGGGTCTCAGGCCACCGCTTTGCTCTTTCGGGAACGAAACATGAAGCTCATTATAAAGCTCTGTTCCTCGCTAAAGATTCGTGAAGCTATCTTCTGCAAGAAGACTACTTTTCTGTAGATGCTCCCTAGCTAGCTTTTCAAGAAGACGACGACTCTGTTCTCATGTTCAGGTTCGAGAGAGAAGTGCACTGCACGAGGAATCTGTCTACAAGCAAACGATTTGCTAGTGCAAGAAGCCAACAACGTGAGGTTCCAAGTGTAGATAATGCATGTTAAAGCTTCTTTGTCGGCCAACACAGCATGCTGCGGTGGTGAAGGGATCGTATGCGCTGCTTCATTAATTGGCCGTCGAAGGGCATCATATATTTGCATCATTTGGTGGAACATAAACAATATTCTGCTAAGTTCATTTTCTTTTTTCTCGATTCTCATGTAGCTGATCACTCCTTTGTCACCTAAATCATGATATTGATGCTCAAAATATTAATATGTGTAAGATGAAAAAAAGATGAACAAGATGATACTCTCACATCATTTGAAAAAGTTGTAAGTTTGACCTAAAATTCGAAAGTTTAAACTTTTCTAGTTACATTGATTCTAACATGTTAACCTCTTTGACTTAGATTTATTATCGATTGTTTACAAGATATCAAACCCAATATAAAATAAGTGAGTCAAAAAGATTGAGAAAATACTTCACTATATATATATATATATATATAT